GTCATGTGTATGTACCTCTGAGGGTACATAATTATCACCTACATGAACAAATTATTTTTTCAAAAATCACTAATACCCTGTTTCCAAGTAAAATATTATGGCTCTTCCCCTTATTTTTATATGATCACATGGTTTTTATTCAAATTCTTTGTACTGATTTACTGATGTTGACTGATAGCCAATTTATAAGATACTCTTTTTTAAAAATTATTTACTTGAGAGAGTGTGCGTGGGGGGGGGCGGGGAGAGGGAGAATCTTAAGGGCTCCATGCCCGACATAGGGCTTGATGTGGGGCTCGATCTCATGACCCTGAGATCATGACCTGAGCCAAAACCAAAAGTTGGACACTCAACTGACCAAGCCACCCAGGCGCCCCTATGCTATTCTTGAGTTCTCAGGGAGAAAACCTATTTGGCTGAGACAAAGTATTCTTTCAACATATGATTAAATTCAATTTCTTCATGTTTTATTTAAGCTTTTCGTTCTTTCAATATATTCATAATTGAGAAAATTCTGTTTCTTTTTAGATTTGTCTATATTTTTGCAAACTTTTAGTTTTAAACTTTAGGTCATTTTGTTTGATTTGTCAATGTTGCAAGCCAGACACCTGACATTTTAAAAATTTAGAGTCTGCTTTTTAAAATAGGAAGCTTAAAACTATTTACATTTATTTTCATGATTAAGAGTTTATTCTTTTTTTTTTTAAGATTTATTTGAGATAGAGGGTGCATGCACAGGGTGAGGGGCAGAGGGAGAGGGAAAGGGAGAATCTGAAGCACACTCCCTGCTGAGTGCAGAGACCAACCCAGGGCTCCATCTCACCACCGTGAGATCATGACCTGAGCTGAAAACAAGAGTCGGACACTTAACCAACTGAGCCACCCAGGCGCCCCTAAGAATTTATTCTTAAATTCCTTCTTTCATTACTTTTGTTCCTTTTAAAAAAATCTATTATTTGTTTTCTCTTGAGCACTAATGACTTTGAAAGTATTATAATCAATTTTACATATTACTGGTTTCACTTATTTTAAACTCCAGGATGAAGTAACTTCTGACTACACTTCAGGTAAAAGTAATATTTATACGACTCTTTTTCTCTGCAAGCTAGGAAAGCTTTGCCCAATGTTTGAGAACAATGTTTTTGTTATCTCACATTATTATATGTACATTATCTAATATAAATCTTCAGCAATTATTTTTGGCATAAATAATAAAGAAAGTTCTATATATCTAGCTGGTCTCAAAAGCCTCATGCAGACATATTTTCAGATCATAAATTCTCTGTTCTTCAATTTTTAATTTTGATTCATGTTTCTGGAAATGGTACTACATATTCAAATAATACACCTTCAGTAGTTTTCTTGTTTTCAGGGAGGGAACATTTGTAATAATTCTCTGTTAATTTGCATGTTCACTACCGACCTCACAAACAATTGACACTTAGGTGACCAGATTTCTTGTGATACAGTTTTTCCCTCAATACTGTGTAGATATCTTTTTTTGTCTTCTGGATTTAGTGTTTTCTGAGAGAAGCCTGGAATGCACTAGGTGTTTCTTTTTCTGTTGAGATACTTGCAAAATTAATTTTTCCCCTGAAATTAAAAAGTTCTAAATATAGTTACAGGTCATAAATTTTACCTGGAATGCAAGACGGACTCATCTCTTCCTAGATCTTTCTATTAATCTCAGGAAGGTTTTTTCATCATGTTCTTTCTACTGTTTCTGCTCCATTAGTACTAGTAATGGGAACGCTAACTTACAGGTCTAGTATTTCTGTATGTCATTACTTATTTCATTTTCATTTTAGCCATTTCTTCTCATGGAAGAATGCCTCAAATTTATCTTCCTTATCACTAAATTATCTTCCTTATCACTATCTTCCTTATCACCATGGTACCAATTCTACTATTTTTGGCCTAAGATATAGTTTTTAAAAAGCAACTAAAGGCAGAACATGGAGAGACTGGTTTTAAATCTCCCTCACTCTACTGCTGGCTATATGGCTCTGGCAAACCATTTAACATCTTTGTTAAGTGGTTTTTCTGTTCTGATGTTTATAAAACCTCTCATGCAAAATAAGAGCCCCAATACCTATGTTTCATGATTAACATGAGAATCAGATATAGCATTTGCAAAATTCTTATCACAGTGCCTAACAGATTGTTGAAAAATAAGGTGAATCTGCCATCATTATGAATTCTCTTAGTACAGCCTTTTCCTTGCTTCCTTTTCTTACTTCAGCCTGCTTCCCTTCCAATCTCAGCCTGTTCTGTACATGTTTTTGTTCTGAAGAGGTCCCATCTCTTCATATGTTATTCAAAGAGGTCCTATTGGGTTGTGGTTAAGAGAATGGGTTCTGTAGTCAGACTGTTAAAAGAGTTTGAGTTCTGGTTCTGCCACTAACTGCAAATTTAGGCAAGGTTATTCAACCTCTCTGTGATCCAGTTTCCTCAACTATAAATGGAGATAAAACCTCATCATTTCGTTGTCATTAAAAACTAGGTAATATACATAAAACGTTTAGACGTGCTCGAAAGATAGGAAGCACTGTTATCTAGTAAATAAAAGCAGGTATTCCTCCTCTATTTCCTAAAGTAAATCATTTCAAAAATATTTTGTTTTCCTCTAAGTCCTCCAGGAATATTTCCCTTCTTTTGAGCTAAAAAATCTCTTCCTCAGTATTTTTTCCTAGGATACTTATCTGTGAATAAAAAAGGTTTGAATGGCCTGTGTACCAAAACAGGCTGGGCAGATTATGTTTAGTCACCTCACATGTGCGTGTTCCCAACATCTAAACTGGACAATGGGTAAATGGACGTCTCCTCTGCCCATTTTTTCGTTATCCATTTAATCGAGCATTCCTGGCCTAAACTGCATCTGGTTCATGCTTACAAAGCCAGTTCTATCAGTAAGAGAAAATATAAGGTTCTACTTTGACTGAGTCCATAAAAATATCCTCAGTTGTTTCAAGGGTTCTTTCTGTTTTTGTCCAATGTGTACCACGTTACCCAAGGGGAGGGCATATACCAATATGCAATGTCCCATCCTCCATATGCCACTATTCCCTTCCATACTCATACGTACCACCAGAAGAAGCGCATTATATAAAAGGGCAGCATTCACTATGGGAGACCGAATCTGCCCCTTTCTGTCAGTAGGTCTAAATTGGTAGGCAATAGTAAACCGGGGTACTACAAACCTCTCACAGGTGTGCAGTCGGATTCTGGCCAGTGCTAGTACTTATTTTTGCCTCACTTGAGAATATATACTATTACAACACTGATGACTGCCAGAGAGAATATGAGAATGAAGAGGTCGCACGGCAAAATTCAGAAGAGGGTAAAATTTGCTACAAGTAAATATAAGCTATATATAACTCATAAAACTCTTGCCAAAGAAATACTATGTACCAATTACCAGAACATGCATGAAGTTATTTGTGCCTGTGTGTGTGTGTGTGTGTGTGTGTATGTACATAACAGATTATGGTCAAAGGAGTAAAAGGTCCAAGTAATATAGCAAAACAGGTCTGAAGAGTGAATAGTACATTAACTGTGGATATTATTACACTCTTTATAATACTCTGGAATCAAGTCGTAGTCAATTGCTGATTTGTTCAGCACTGTTCTGAGTTCTGCATTTTTAATCTCTTCAACTGTGCTGTCAAAAATTGTCATTAGCGGGCGCCTGGGTGGCTCAGTCGGTTAAGCGACTGCCCTCGGCTCAGGTCATGATCCTGGAGTCCCGGGATCGAGTCCCGCATCGGGCTCCCTGCTCGGCAGGGAGCCTGCTTCTGCCTCTGACCCTCCCCCCTCTCATGTGCTCTCTCTCTCTCATTCTCTCTCTGTCAAATAATAAATAAAATCTTTATAAAAAAAATAAATAAAGTTTCATTGGGCACCTGGGTGGCTCAGTTGGTTGAGCGACTGCCTTCGGCTCAGGTCATGATCCTGGAGTCCCGGGATCGAGTCCCACATCAGGCTCCCTGATCAGCAGGGGGTGTGCTTCTCCCTCTGCCCTCTTCCCTCTTGTGCTCTCTGTCTCTCATTCTCTCTCTCTCAAATAAATAAATAAAATCTTTAAAAAAAACCCCAAAAAACAAAAAACAAAAAACAAAACCAATGTCGGGGCGTCTGGGTGGCTCGGTCGTTAAGCGTCTGCCTTCGGCTCAGGTCATGATCCCAGGGTCCTGGGATTGAGCCCCGCATTGGGCTCCCTGCTCAGCGGGGAGCCTGCTTCTGCCTCTGACCCTCCCCCCCTCTCATGTGCTCTCTCTCTCTCTCATTCTCTCTCTGTCAAATAATAAATAAAATCTTTATAAAAAAAATAAATAAAGTTTCATTGGGCGCCTGGGTGGCTCAGTTGGTTAAGCGACTGCCTTCGGCTCAGGTCATGATCCTGGAGTCCCGGGATCGAGTCCCACATCGGGCTCCCTGCTCGGCGGGGAGCCTGCTTCTCCCTCTGACCCTCCCCTCTCTCATGTGCTCTCTCTCATTCTCTCTCTCTCAAATAAATAAATAAAATCTTTAAAAAAAAAAATTGTCATTTGAAAGTGTACCTCAAGTACAAAGATAATTACTGCCTTCAGATTCCACTGATTTCTCCTGGTTCTGCTGGGTAGAATCAGATCAATCAGTCTAAATAAAAACAAGCCACTGAATATCTGAAGTAACGTATTACTCCCTAAGTTCTTCACAATTCTGGGTTAAAAATCCTGATTGTCTTTAAAAATGTGTAACACATTGGCCAGTTGAGTTTGCCCATTCTCTCACCACTCTCATCAGTTTGGCTAGATTATTTCGGTAGCACAGCACTGAAGACTGAACTCAGTACCCCAAGAGTCATGTGGATTCTAACGTAAGCTTTATTTTACCATGTGCTATTGACTCTGACATAGATTTACTATTTTCAATTTCCAAAGTTCCTCAGAGTTTTAATATGAAAGTTATAATCTCATGTAGATACAGAAGTTATCATTACCAAATGATCGATTACTCACTGCAATTTTATCTCCAGATTTGCCAATTTTTTTCTTCAGTTTTTTTCTTTCGTGAATGAGCTCATGGTGGGTCTTAAGCAATTCCTCAAAGCGAACTTTGGTTTTTACTTTGGCTTCACTCTCCACTGCAAAGATAAAGACTCCTGTCATTTTCTAAACAATTCTATTATAGCAGGTCTGCATTATTATTATGTTAAAGAACACAGTCTTGTAAATACCTACATGAGTTCTTCAGCTACTTTAGAACTGACCAGTCCTTCCTTCTTAAAAACTTTTCTTTTGGCTTTGGTGACACCACACTCATCTGAATCCCTCTTACATTTTGGGATACTCCCTTTAAAAGTTTCCCATACTAAGTTAACTTTCTACTTGTGACTCACAGTAGCATCTACCACTGTTACGTGGCCTTAACCAACTTACTTAACAACTCTAAACTTCATCTTCATTATCTGTAAAATCAGAATAATCCTATGTCAAAGACCATTTGCATGAAGAATGGCTAACACTTAGTTAGCTAAGCAATAATCAGCATTCAATAAATACGAAAAGCTGAAAGTTATTTTTTCCTTTAAAACATAAGTCAGATCATGTTATTCCCTTGCTTAAGACCTTGCCAGTTTCCCACTTCACTTAGGACAAAATAAAATGAGTCCTTCACATGCCCTACAGGGTTCTCACTTCCTCGCCTGCCTACCTCTACAGCTTGAATCCAAGAGAAACAGCCCCTTAGATCCCTGTATTCTAGCCATTCTGTCCTTCTTCTCACTCCTCCATCAGAATAAGCACCTTTCCATGTGAAGCTGCTTCTACCTGCTGCAAACTTCTTGATAAGGAAAATGGAGAATCAGGCACCCGTGTGGCTCCCAAGGATGGGCTGAAGCCGGGTTCTAGGCCTCTCAAAGCTTTAGATGGGAGATCTCAGGTTTCAACACCACGTGTAGCAAAATGTTTGATGCTCAAGCAGCCTTACCTAAAGTTGCCAGAAAGGCTTTGGGAACTGTCAAGATGGCCACAGAAAACTCAGTAAAGACTAATGGATCTCTCAAACAGAACTTCTCAGCTACTCGTGTTAAGGTGCCTATTCAAATGTTGCCTCTAAAGTGGAACCTTTCCTGACAATCTCATCTAAATTTCCCCGTTCCTCACATAGCAGACTGTTCTTTTTCTTCACAGCCACCTACCACAGCTTGAAACTATATAATTATTTGTGTATCTACACAAATAAATATATTATCTCTGTCTCTCCCACTATACTATGCTACCATCCCTACTACCATCATGAGATCTAGCATAGAGTACCTACTAATAAACATGTTTTAATGCTGAATAAATGCTGAATGAATGGATGAATGCCCCAGAGCAGATGTTGGCAAATTACTGCCTGCAGGACAGTCATCTACTTTTATACTTAAAAGTTTATTGAAATACAGCCATGCCCACTCTGTGAAGAATTCTTATGGATGCTTTTATGCTTCAATGGCAGACATGAGCAGTTACAGCAGAGAATAAACCTAAAATATTTACGAGCTTTCCCTTTAGGAAAAAGTTTGCCAATACCTGCTTTAGAGTAAACTGTCCATTTCGATGATAAAGAATAAAAACTAACCATATGTTGTAATGATTATTTACCTGCTCCAGTGGAGTCCCAAACTGCCATCCATTAAATACATACTAGCCTTAATAGCTAACATTAAATAGAAAATTGATAAAGAAATAAAAAAATAAAATAAATAGAAAATAAATAGAAAACTGAATACCAAACTATTAAATATCTAAATGTAATATTTGGTTAATGTATTCATTAATAGGTCAAAGAACCCCTTAAAATAATTCAAACTTTAAAATAAATAAGCAAATAAAATGTATGGCATATATAAATTTCATAAAAGTCTTACCAGTGGGCATATCTCAGTTTTATGGAGAGCATCCAGCTGTAATGCAAAGCAATGACTCAATCAGGATCCTATTAAAACAAAGAGAGTTTATTTGTAGTATGGAATTTGCAAATAAAAATTACAAAACATTTTTCACACAAGATTATGTGATGATTTGTCCACTACCTCATCAGGTTTATAGCAATTAAGCTAAGTTCTCTTATCCAGTCTTATGCATATGACTTAAATACATTGGGATCAGTTTAGAGTCTGAAAAAAAGTAAAGAAAACTGGATATTTGAATAAAATATTTATATATTTGAAACAAAAACTTTTTAAAAATCTTTAAAGGCAGTTAATATGTACTTGATGTGTTAAAGCACTTTTAAAAGTGTTTTAAGTAAAAAATAAACATTTCAATGTACTTTTAAGAAAACAAACTCCACCCCAGAATTGACTTTCCCAAGAGCATACGCTATTATATTAGTAAAGTATGCTTGTGGGTAGCATATTTACAGATAATGAATTTGAACATTTTTGTACCTTCCACTAAAAATGTTGCAACAACAGAGAAGGTTAAGCACAAGCACTTGTACCATCTTTCTCAAATAAGTATCTGGATATGTATTATTATATATCAAAACCAGGGATAAACTCAGTATATGTATTCCTGAATTTCCAATTTTACTTAAAGATGAGGGTGTATGTCCACAACAAACATATTAATTTCCACATAAGAACACAATATTCACACATTTTTAAGAATAAAACTGAAGACTGTAAAAAAAAAAAAAAGAAAGAAAAACATAATTTGAGTTGGCTGAGCAATTATCTGTTAAAGCTCCAGATCCCTGGGGATGCACCTTCATGTTCCTCTAATATTATGGGTACTTCTGAGAAGAAATGCTAAAAAGGTTAAAAATGATTATACACATATATCTGATTATGTGGATTAACTTATATAATAATTTTCTGGTACACCAACAAAATAGATATCACTGAATTCACACAGTAAAGACTCCTATGCTTTATGGATGGGAGCCCAAATGTAGTCTTCCTATAGGTACAGATCTAATAAATTTGGTCACGTACTTTCCAATCTACCCCAAATTAGAAAAGAGAGATGTAAAGGCAAGTGCATCAGTAATTAAAACCTGACAGCACATAAGCAGAAAAAAAATATAAAGCAAATAATGACTTAATATTTATATATTCCATGGCCATTCAATATAGAGGAAAACAGCTGAACTACATGACTATGAGCCATTAAGAAAAGGCTTACGTATATTCAGCTTGACCTGTTTTCCATTAAACAAAAAGTTTATGGTATTCTAGACATTTCAGAAAGAGTAAGTAAAAACAAGGCAGGACAAAGAGTCCAGGATGATTCTCATTTTCTGGAAGTAGAATACTTAGGCCCCCAGTAGTAGCATTTATTGGAATACAGGACAAGTATAGTGGAGAAGTTTAAAACCCAAGTCTTAGAATTAGTCTCAAATAGTTAATTGTGTGACCTTAGGCATTTGTTTCCTCATCTGTAAAATCAGTCTACCAGTGCATATTCAAAAGGCTGTTATAAGGGTTAAATGATTTAAAATAATGCCCCAGTAAACTTCTGTTACGATGGTAATAGAGACTTGTGGGAACACTCAGTGAGCTTATGGGGCATATTGAGCTGGGTATCTGAGGGGCACTAACCAGCTATAAGCATTGGCTTCACTGTCAGATCCCTAGATTCAAATCCCAGTTCTACCTGCCAGTAAATTAATCTCTGGACCTCCATTTCCTAAGCTTTCAAAAGGGAATTATAATACTAAATCATTCATAAGGTTTTGGTAAAGATTAAATGAGACTATCCAAATAAAACACTTAGCACAATGCCTAGAACATGGCAAGCCCTTAGAAAATGACAGCTATTATCACTGTATATATAAATACATGTTTGTATGTATAATCAGGTTGTATTTAGTAGGCAATAGAATATAGTAATCCAACACGGAGAACTAGGCTGAAGATTTGAGAACTAGGCTTTATATTTATGATGCTTTCAGGGGAAAAAGTGCCAAAGACAGAATTCCGGAAGCCCAAAAATAAAGTAAAAAGACATCAAAGAGATAGATGAAAGCTAGGGGAGAGAAATAACCAAGGGAAAGAGGTTTATTTGTTTTTTTTTGTTGTTGCTGTTAGAGAGGGACAGAGAGAGTATGAGTGGGGGGAGGGGTAGAGGGAGAAGGGGAGGGAGAGAGAATCTCAGGCAGGCTCCATGCTGGATCCTACAACCCTGAGATCACGAGCTAAGTGGAAATCAAGAGTCAGCCACTTAACCAAAAGAGCTGCCCAGGTGCCCTTCAAGGAAAAAGTTTTAACAAAGAAGTTTTCTATCACTGTGTGGTACCAAGCATGCTGCAAATTGTGAAGAGTGTCCACTGGATCTGCAGGGCAGACAGGAAGTCACATGTTTGCAAAGCTGTTTGTGAAGGGGCAGAAATCGGGTGGCCACAGGTGGACAAATGAATGGAAGGTGAGACCTGTAGAAGAAACATGGGGATAATTCTTTCTACAAATCTGCTTCCAAGTGTCTTCCCCCACCCTCAAAGGCAGTGACATGATGCAGCAGCTTTGAGGGATAAAAAGACTATGGAAAGATTTTACTTTTTTTCTTAAGACTGTTTCCATGCTTCTATCACCTTATCCTTTTAAAAAATAAATCATCCTCTTCATTGCAAGCAGAAGAAATTACCTAAAATACAAACGCGATGGTATCATTTCTTTGTTTAAATCTCTTCACTAGATTTTAATAACCCACTGGAAAAAATAGGAAGTCCTTACCATTGGGGTTCAAGGCTACTTATGAAATGACTCCTTCTCCAGCCACATTTCCACACACATTCTGAATTCTAACCATGTGAAACTACTTACAGGCCTTCAATTGTGCCAAATGCCTTCTTGCCTTTGTACCATTACACACACTCCTCTCTCTCCTGAGAAATGCCCTTCTTCTGTCACTCCAACAAACTCCTAACTATCCTTTAACGCTAAATGCAGATGGTATCTTCTCTGGGAGCACTCTAACCTTAAGCTTAAGGGGTGGTTAAATACTTCTCTGTGCTCCCACAGTGCCTTGAGCTTCACACCTCCCTCTCTACCTCAGTCCTTTATTTTCACCCTGGTAAAACGTTCTATGACCCAGGAAATTAAAATGGTACCTACTTTACTGTAGGGAGAAAAGGAAATACCGAAAAGCAAAGTGATCAGCACAGTGGCTGGCACACTATAGGTGCTCAGTAAAATTACTTTAGGTCTATTATTATAGCACTAAAAATAAGCGTGCAATAAATAAAATACATAAAGTAAATTTCATATTCACATTATTTACTATTACTCAGTAGTTCAATGCACAGTTGAACAAACACTAATACTACTTAATACAGCAAACACATTACAGAAATAATCATTTCCAAACATTAATGTGTCCCATAGCAAATACATTATAGAATTAATGACTAATATTTGATTAGTAACATCATTGGCAAAAATAAGGTCAAACCTAAAATGATATCCTTGAGTCTCATATATACCATTATTTTTTTTACTTTTAAAGATTTTATTTATTTATTAGAGAGAGAGAGAGAGCGAGAGAGGGAACACAAGCAGGTGGAGTGGGAGAGGGAGAAGCAGGCTTCCCGCAGAGCAGGGAGCCCGATGTGGGACTCGATCCCAGGACCCTGGGCTCACGACCTGAGCCGAAGCCAGACGCTTAACGACTGAGCCACCCAGGCGCCCTCATATATACCATTATTTTAAAGATTCTCCCTCACAAACCCTTTTATAGGAGCTGCTAAGAAATAATAGTAAAATTAACTGCACTACGTTTCATTTTTCTTTTTCTTTAAACATCTGGTTTTCGGCCAATAAATGTCTAAAGATCAAGGGGGGAAGAAGCAGAGGCTTGGATAATTCACCCTTTAACTGAATTTTATAGCATAGGAAAAAAAAACTAACAAAAACCCTGTAACATAATTCAACTGATAAATCAAGATACTCTCCATATATAAACAAGATTCTAAATACGGTTTTAAAAAATGTTGGTATTTGGATTTTTCAAATATTTTTAGAAATTTCCCAGACTTCTCAGAACGAGCAATCTTTTCCCTGAATCTCCAAGCAGTAAGAGCAACAGTTAATGCAACAGGTGAAAAAATTGTTAGCATCGTTTTCTCAAAAAGTAAAAGCCATACACTCCAGCGAGTATATGTTTCCACAGTAATGCTGAAATATAGCACAGCCATTGGCAGCGATTCTAAATAGTGTACTTTTTTTCTATTAGTATACATACCGAAATGACCCTTATAAACGTAACACATTGATCACCTTTTCTCGGATGTAATTAAGAAGGCATTTCACAGGTTCGAGATTCAGCACCAAGTTGACACCCTAAAAGGAAATAAACGTACTTAGTGCGTATCTGAGTTAAATGCTTTCAAGCCAGAATCCGGAGTGGGAAAGGCAAAGATTGCATTCCCTCCACGGTGGATCTGGACACCGCGCTGAGCACTCATGAGACAGGAGCCCAGGGAAGGGAGCGGGAAAGTACTTAGAGGTATTGATTAAAAATTACATCCCCCCGCTCGGCGGCACCCGGCGGGTCAGCCTGCGGCGGCGCAGTACGAGCCCCCGCCCCACCCCGCGGCGCACCGCCCCCGCGCCCTCGGACCCCGGCAGTCCCCCAAGCCACCGCCCCCTCTGAGAGGGCCGGGGCACGCCAAGCTCCCGGCCCGGGCTCCCGCCACCAGCAGGCCTGCAGCGTACTCACGGAGAACGTAGCCCACAGCGGCCGACAGTCAGTCCCGCCCGACCCGACGCCGGGACTGCGCGAAGCGGCTCCTCGCGCCGAGCGGGGCGGGAGCCAGGCACCCGCGTAGCCAGCCTAGCCGCCAGCCTCTCCGGCTCTGAGAGCGGACCGGCTGCCGCAGTGCGGGCCGCGCGCCGCCCGCTGACGTCAGCGCCTGCCTACGCCCCCGTTCCCACGACAACCGAAGCGGCCCGAGCTCCCGGTCTGGACCGCTGCCCAGCCGCGACGCCCCTCCGCGGCCCCGCCCCGCGCCACCTACGCCGGGGCCTCGAGCTCCCGCAGTGCGGCGCCTGCGGAGGTGGTGCGCGCGCCCCGCCCGCGGGCCTTCAGACTAGGGCCGGGCACGCGCTCTGGCGGCCGCGCGCGGGACTCCTCGTGCCCGTGTAGGAAGCGCGAGGCCGCGGCCCTCCGAAGAAAGAATCTCTCGCCCCCGAGCGCCAGGGAGCCCTGCGAATGCGTAGGGTCTGAACCCATCTGGTCGTCACCCCCGAAGAAGCGTTCTGTCTCTCAGAACTGTAGCCAGCGCTGGAAAAAAAAAAAAACGAGAGGGGGCAGAGACAGGGAGGCAGTCGTGAAACCCGCCGAGGCCGAGAAACATGAATGAGGCAAAGCAGCAGGCACGTCACCGCCCAAGCGATCGCGCCCACAACGTGAAACATTCTTTTAAACGCGGAGAATGGAGTTGTACTACAGACCAAACCTTAAGGAAAAAAATGTTCATAATTCGTGCGGCGCTGAGTTATCTCGCTATGTGTTTGAAACAAGAAAATGAAAACCCGCACCCAGTGCCTCCCCCCACTTTCTAATTTCTGCCACAGGCGCCATTTTTAGCTCTGAGTCACCAGGGATGGAAAAATACTAGACAGGTCCCTCCCCCAACTCTTGAATTTCCTGCAGTTGTAGTCATACACCGCGCCATAACCTGTTGCTTAGTTTGCAAAGTGAGAGCGTTATGTATATTTCTTTAGAGGCCAGCTTTTCTATTTATATTAGCATCATATTTCATTTTCTTTCTCCAAATCCTATGAGAATTCCATGAGACATTATCCAATGCATCTTAAACCGAACTGTTCAACTTTCCACCTAGAACCTACTCCCGTTTCTGGATTTCTGTTTTGGTTTAAGCCACCACCGTCCTCCCAGTGTTGTAAATACCTGTAGAGCATCCTAAATGCCTCTTACAACAAATTATGTCCATTCTACTCTTTTAACACCCCCAGTATATAGCTTATCCAACTTGACTCCGGCTGCCTCATACCAGCCTTCATTACTTCTATTACTGTGTGATGGCCTCTTTACCAGTCCCCTGACTCCAGTTTTGATTCCAGAATGCCATCCTCCATACTGCTACCAGAATGACTTCACTAAAAATGTAAATGACTGATAATGTCACTGTCCTGAAAATTCTTCAAAGGATTATCTGTAAAAGAAAATTTAGTTACTTTGCCTAGGATATAAGACACTCCAACTGCCTGGCTAGTTTCTTCTCTCATTGCCTCCTTTCAATGTTATGCTTCAGCAATACTGAATTATGTGTACCATGCAAAACAATCCATAACCTCTCATGCCCCCTTTCTTGTACATATTGTCTCCCCTCTCTGAAAAATCTCTTTTTGTAAACTCCTACACCTCCACATCTCAACCCAAATGTTGTCTATACTTTGACTCCATCTATTTTGTTTTTCCCCTAACGTCCTCTGCTAAAGAGATGTAAGGAGCAATGAGCAGGTACTGCCTAGATCTTGGTTTCTAAACACCATTTTCTACTAAAAGGAACTAGAGCCTCTTGGGGAAATGACTGATTCAGAACAGGAACAGGGGAAGTACATGAGCCCGAAAAATCTTGTTGCACCAGAAACTAAAGAAGTTTTTACAGAATGATGGAACATAAGAAAGGGACACAGAAACCAGCTTGAAAGAGCCTCCATTTGCCACATCTGGGTCAATCTGAGCACCACTATAATAATAGATTATGATCTGAATAAAATAGGAATACTTGAGTCTATACTGAAATAAATACATGAATGTTTTTTAAATTGGCATAAATAAATGCTCTTTCTTATATTAGATTCCTAACTAATAAATGTAGAAGGAATGTATAGATAGAAATATCACCATTTGGCAACTATTGTAATAAAAATGGATTCAGCCAAGAATCATCAATGTATGCTAGAACTAGAGGGTGAAAGTTTTAAGAGAAACATTATAGTCTCAAAGTATCTCCTGGCCAAATACTAATTATGAAGGGAAAAATAGAAACTTGACAGTGCAGAAATCTGGCACTGGTGAGCAAAGTTACCATCCCCAGTAATAGGACAAATGACAAATCAGCATTGTGTGCCACCTGGTAAGAGACAATTAGAACACACTTGTGATACTCCTGCCAAAAATGCATAAGGAAGAATCTAATCATGAGGGAGGATCAGACAACCTCAAATTAAGGAAATTGTACAAAATTATAGATCTTTATGCTTTAAAAGTTTGTCAAGGTCACGAAAGACAAAGGAACAACTAAAGAACTTTTTCAGATTGTAGGAGACTAAAGAGACATGACAATTAAATGGAACATATGACCCTGCATTGGATCCTTTTTCTTTTAAGGATATTATTGGGACAACTGACAAAATTTGAATTGGGTCTGTGGACTAGATGGCATTTTAACAAAGTGAATTTCCTGATTTTGATGACTATAGTCTGGTAATGTAGGGGTTACCTTTGTTTCTAGAAAATACACTGAAATATTTAAAGATAATGAAGCTTCATGTCTGCAACTTACTCAAATGGTTCTGAAAAAAGTATATACAAATAAGGGAAGTCAGTAAAATATGAATATGTATATAGAGAGAATGATAAAGCAAATGTAGTATGTCAACAACTGGAGAATTTGGGCAAAGATAGAAGTTCTTTGTACTATTCTTAGAATTTTTTTCTGTAAGTTTAAAATTATTTTAAAATAATAAAAAATGTTTTAAAGGTACTGAGGTTTCTGGCTTAGGTAACAGGATGGAAAATGGCTAGTTAACAGTGGAAAGGTAGGAAGAGCTGGTATAGAGGAAAGATAGTTTAGTGGGATACAGCCAATAGGCAATTGAATAAATAGCAAAATATAAGTGAGCCCCATTCAAACTGGAGAAAGCAAATATGGTGCTTTCCTTCTCATAAGCTCAGAGTACAAAAGTGAGATTATTTTAGTGGTATTTGGAGAAGCAAGCAATTAAGAGTAGTAGTGGTAGTAATAATAAAATTGGCCAACCATTCATGAAATCAATTTAGAGTATTCAAAACATCTAATAAATAAAAAATAGTGAATTTGTTGAATAAAACATAAATATGGTCGATAGACAAAATATTTATCCCCCTGAACAAAATGTACATTAACCAATCGAAACAAATGTTGGCTTTACTGTCTGTATTACATTGCTAGGTCTGTCATATGAAGTACCATAGACTGGTTGACTTAAACAACAGAAATGTATTTTCTCACAATTCTGGAGATTAGAAGTCCAAGATCAAGATGTTGGCAGGGTTAGTTTCTTCTGAGGCCTCTCTCCTTGGCTTATAGATGGCTGCCTTGTCCTTGTGTCTGCACATAGTCTTCTCACTGTACCTGAGTCCTAATCTTCACTTCTTAGAAGGGCATCAGTTATAGTGGATTAGGGCCCACCCTAATGACCTAATTTCAGTGTAATTACCTCTTTAAAAATCTTATGTCCAAATATAGTCACATTCCGAAGTACTGGGGGTTAGGATTTCAACATATGCATTTTGGGAGGCCAAAATTTAGCCTGTAACACTGCTGGTATTGTGCTAGACGTACAACAGAATGCAAAAATTGGAACTGTTTGGAGTTTCACTCAGAACAAACTGTATAAAGACGTTTCAGACGATCAGAGATTTTTCAGTATGGGCTAATTATTAGATGATATTAAAGGAATTTTTATTTCTTTCTGTATAAAGGAAATAATGGCATTGTGATTATATAAGAATAAACCTTTCTTAAGTCCATAGAATATGATGACACGATGTCTGAAATTTGCTTTAAAACAGTCCAGAAAAAAATAAAAAAAGAAAACCACGTGGGGGAAGATAACACATATATACCTAAATTTTGATGGTCATTGAAGCTGGCTAATAGGTACCTGGCATTTTATTATACTTTTTGTGTGTTTGGAAATTTTTGTAATAAGCAGGCAAAACAAAAGTAGGAAAACTTATATAGAATTTGAAAGGCATAGAACCACAGGAAAAAGGAAAAAATATTCAGTACTACTTCCTAAAAAGAATATCAATGAGCTTTTTAAAGCAATTTTGTTTTCAGTCCGTTTTCTATGCATACTTTAATTTTGGTCATATTGTATGTAAGATACTTATTTCTGCTTCCTTGAATTAACATTATGTTATACTTTCATTTCCATGCTATTATATATGCCATATAAACTTCATTGAAATGTTCAGCTTGTTGGGGCACCTGGTTGGCTCAGTGGGTTAAGCACTTGACTCTTGGTTTTGGCTCAGGTCATGATCTCATGATCTCATGGGTCCTGGGATGGAGCCCTGCTCAGCATGGAGTTGGCTTGAGGATTCTCTCCCTCTGCCCCTCCCCCACTCACATGTGCACACACGTGCTCTCTCTCTAAAATAAATAAATCTTAAAAAAAATGTTAAGCTTGTTAATAACATTCATATGTAGGGGCACCTGGGTGGCTCAGTCGGTTAAGCGTCTGCCTTCAGCTCAGGTCATGATCCCAGGGTCCTGCTCAGCGGGGAGTCTGCTTCTCCCTCTCCCTCCCTCACTCACTCTCTCTCAAATAGATAAATAATAAAAAAATCTTAAAAAAATAATGTTCATGGGGCGCCTGGGTGGCTCAGTTGGTTAAGCGACTGCCTTCGGCTCAGGTCATGATCCTGGAGTCCCGGGATTGAGTCCCGCATCGGGCTCCCTGCTCGGCGGGGAGTCTGCTTCTCTCTCTGACCTTCCCCCTCTCATGCTCTCTATATCTCATTCTCTCTCTCAAATAAATAAATAAAATCTTTAAAAAAAAAAAAAAAAAAAAAAAAAAAATAATGTTCATATGTGCTCATAGTAAAAATTCAATCAATCTTCTAGACATTTGTATTGTAGAAACTGAAACTCTGCCATATGTTAATCACTG